TATATTATATATATATATATATATATATATATAATATATACATCCATGTATCCATGTTGCATATCGTCATTATTTAATGCTTTTGCTTATTGTCATTGTTCAGTTTTTGCATCCCTTACTCTGCCCTTTCCCGAAAACGAATCTAAGCAAACTCCGAGAGAATGGAAGTAGCAGCCAAGCTTCTCCTCTCTCTTTTCCCTTTCCAATTTTGTAATAATTTCCCTTTTATGTACTGTTTACCTTATCTTTACACAGTTCCCCCCCCCGAAGGAAAATCCATACTAGATGATAAAAACGACCAAACGCAACACGTGTATATATATATATATTTTTTTTTATGAATGGAAGCTTACTGTTCTAGTTACAACGGCCGGCGATAAGAATGAACGGTCGAGATATGTGGGGATTGCAGAACTTGTGCTGTTCCTCCTCCCTACCCCCCCCCCCCACCGCCTGCTAGAGCGAGAACAAAGCCGCGCGTGTTATTTTCAGATAAAGGGACAAGGTTTCTTCAAATAAAATTGTTCTTTTTTTGGTGTGTGTGGCAGCTTGTTCTCCAATTCGTTCCCAGGCGGACTCGAAAATGTGTGTTCTCATTCTCCCTCACTTGACGGTGAATTGTTAGATAAAGATGCTTAGATATACATAGATTTCCTCCAACTTACGTATCAATAAAGTCTACCTAAATAAAAATGATAATGTTGGTGACCCGCAACATCTTAACAATGAAACCGATACCCTATTAAGACTTTGAAAAGAAGTTAAAAATGCCCCAAAAATGTCTTCTCTTGCTCTTGTAATCAGGTGACTTGAATATTCTGCTGTTATCTACGTTCAGAAATGAGTCTTCCGAGAAATATTAATGAGTCTGTGTCTACGAAGACGAACTCTAAATAGACATAAATATAGCCGCTTAAAAGTGAAGATCGAGTAGCGAGAAAGCCCAAGAAAATAACCATAAATAATAAACAATAAAAAAAACTGTGATTAAATAAAGGCTCCCGACATGCCGCGGAGAATAGTTTCTATCAAATTTGAAAAGTTTAAGCAGTTTTGTATAAAAAGTACCCAACATGTGACGGGCGGCGGCATCTTTATTTATTCTGGGTGGTTTAGTTATTCCAATCTCCATATAAACTTTGAGGCGAGCCAGAATTAAGTTGCAAGTCAAGGCGTCCAACAATTCAAAGAGTTTAAGTAGTTCCATCAGCTGCATTATAGTGTCGTCCTCAATCTGATCTTTCCGCTACTGGGAAGTTGTTATTCTTTGTCTTGTCAGCCTTAAAATAATCTGTGCGTGTGTGTGTGTGTGGTGGTGTGTGTGGTGTGTGTGTGTGTGTGTGTGTGTGTGTGTATGCGTGCGTGTTTAAATCTGCCATGATCTGTGTGTGTGGGTGTGTGCGTGTTTAAATCTGTCATGATCTGTGTGTGGGGGTGTGCGTGTTTAAATCTGTCATGATCTGTGTGTGGGTGTGTGCGTGTTTAAATCTGTCATGATCTGTGTGTGTGGGTGTGTGCGTGTTTAAATCTGTCATGATCTGTATATCTGTCATGTGTGTGGGTGTGTGCGTGTTTAAATCTGTCATGATCTGTGTGTGTGGGTGTGTGGGTGTGTGCGTGTCTTAAAATCTGTCATGATCTGTGTGTGTGGTGTGAGCGTGTGTTTCAATCTGTCATGATCTGTGTGTGTGGGTATGTGCGTGTTTAAATCTGTCATGATCTGTGTGTGTGGGTGTGTGCGTGTTTAAATCTGTTGATAATTATATGTGTGCTGGGGTGTTTGCGTGGGTAAGTACTATCTATCAAGGTTGAATAACATTAAGAAACGCAGTTATTATTGATGATAATAAGGATATGGATAATTAGCATTACAATTATGCTTTATCATACATCGTTATTATCAATATTTTACACATGTACTATGAAGCTTCAATAACGTTAAAAAACGCATTTAATATAATATTGATAGGGATATGAATAACGATCATTATCATTATCTTTTTCATGCACCTTTACTTTATCAGAAATACTTATATTATTATTATTATATTATTATTAACTTACTAATACTTTCTTTCACTAACCCTTTGAAAAGTTTAAACCGCTGGTATAGGGGACAAGTTAAATTATAATAATGATTAATATTCCTTCACATAAGCAAAAGTTTAATAACATCAAAGGCTTTCCAGCACTTAGGTAGTTTCTCTATTATCGGCAATATCATTCATGGGTGGAATTAATAAATTTTAAGTTCTTTTTGAGATTTAAAAGAAATTCGCGTCTTTGAACTCTGTTCTATAAAGTTTATTTCAAAGACGGTTTAATCATGTACACATAAGAAACACATGAACATATATTCAAAATACATGGACACATACGCAGAAAATGCACACACACAATCACTAGCATACACAGATATACACAAACAAATAAACACACACACATACAAAATACACACACACAAAAAACACATGCACCCACACAGCCGCACGGACGCACACACACACACAAAACACAACACACACACACACACACACACACACACACACACACACACACAACACACACACAAACAAACAAACACACGCACACACACACAACACACACAGACACACACAACACACACACACACACACAACACACACACACACACACACACACACACACACACACCGCACACCAGCCACCCACGACACACATACACATCACAGCAACAAACCACCTCGAATATATATATATAACTATATATATTATTTAATAATACGTATATAGATTCATAGTACTATATATATATATATATACTATACAAATTACATTAATACAGATTAATATACCGATATAGATATAAAAGGATAGTGTATGCGTGCCAACACCAAACACGCACAAACACATGCACAAGCACCACCAGAATCACATACCAAGCAACACACATACAACACAATCATATCCCACACTTATGGTCACATACATGTATATATACATATAATATATATATATATTATATATATATATTATATATATATATATATATATATAATATATACTATAGTTGTACTACATATATACATAGAGCACACATGACATATGATGTTGTATATGATAAGTATATATAGTATATATATATAATATATATTATATATAGTATATCTATATACATACATGNTTCTCCCCCTCTTCTCTCTCTCCTCCTCTCTCTCTTCTCTCTTCTCTCTCTCTTCTCTCTTCTTCTTCTCTCTCTCTCTCTCTCTCTCTCTCTCTCTCTCTCTCTCTCTCTCTCCTCTCTCTCTTCTCTCTCTCTCTCTCTCTCTCTCTCTCTCTCTCTCTCTCTCTCTCTCTCTCTTTCTCTCGCTCTCTCTCGCTCTTCTCTCTCTTTTCTCTCGCTCTCTTTCTCTCGCTCTCTTCTCGCTCTCTCTCTCTCTCTCTCTCTCTCTCTCTCTCTTCTCTCCTCTCTCTCTCTCCTCTCTCTCTCTCTCTCTCTCTCTCTCTCTCTCTCTCTCTCACCATTAACATCCTACATAGCATATTAACCAGCAAGCCCACAGACCACGTGTCACATGTATTAGTCCAGATCACGTGGTTCGTTAGTTCCACCTCGCTCACGCCCCTTGTGCCCCACTTCTTTGCAATTTCCAAGGGGACCAGGGCTCTACGTGAATCTGAACCTTATGAGGAATTGGGGTAAATCACTTTCCTCATTTTGATTAATCCTTTATTAATCTGTTTTTTATAGGTAAAGGAGGGATTTGAGTTTTATTTGATAATCCTTAATTAATCTGTTTTAAAGGAAAAGGAGGAATTTGAGAATAGATGTCACACGCTTGCCGTCCACCCAGGAGAGAGAGGTGGAGGAGAGAGGAGAGAGCGGCTTGGACCACCCGAACTGACGCGTCTGGTATCGTCTTCTGTTCTACGTTGTTAACTTCCTCACAGCACTTTCATTACAAAAGGGACGTTTCCCTTTCGTTCGGGAGGAAGTCCTGGAAAACTTTCGAATGTCGGAAAAAAAACTAGGAAATATAATACTTTTCATGGAAAAAAGAGTCCGCTTGAGTGTACGAAATGTATTTATATAGAGAGAATCGTTCTTTTTTCTCTCTTTTTTTTTTTTTTTTTTTTTTTTTGTATTGTTGGGTTGTCGTCATGGGCTGCGTCCTTCGCCTAATTCTTGAATAGAATTGTGGAAATGGAAAGAAGGGGAATAAGAATAGGTGAAAAGAGAAAAGGAAGGGTTGTGAGATGGGGATGAGGGGAAGGAGGAGAGGAGGAAGGGGAAGAGAGAAGGATGGGAGGAAGGGGAGGACAAGGGGAAGGAGAGAGAGAGAGAGAGTTTTGTAGGAGCCGAGAAAAATAAGAAATGAAACAATGTCACATGCAAACAATGGAGATGGACGAAGCAGAAACTCATATTCCTGTCTCCATTCCTTCCGTCTTTGTGAACGTGAAAAAAGAGAGACTAAATCAAAGGGAAAAGAAGTGAGAGGAAAACAGGTAGATATGATGGATAGATAAAAGAACTATATATAGATAGAGAAATAGAAGATAGAGGAAAGAGAAAGACAAACAGAAGGAGAGAGGGGGAGGAGGGAAAGAGAAAAAAAGAAAGAGAAAGAGATTGAGAGAGAAGGAGAAAGACCGAGAGAGAGAGATGAGGAGAAAGAGAAACCGAGAGAGAGAGACAGACAACAGGAGACAGAGAGGGACACACACAGAGACGGAAACAGAGACAGACAAAGAGGCAAAGACAAAGAAAAAGACAGAGAGACAGAGACGGAAACAGAGACAGACAAAGACGGAAACAGAGACAGACAAAAAGGCAAAGACAAAGACCCACAGAGAGAGAAAAAGAGAGAAAGAAAGAGAGGGAGCAGGAGAAGACGGAGACAAGAGGCGGGCGCCGCATCCTTCTCTTTCCTGTTCGCTTTAAGGAGAGAGAGAGAGGACGGGGAATCGGCAAGGGTCTCACGCCGTAAAATGGTAACGATTGCTTTTTATCGCTTCCTCTAAGCAGGGATGGGAGTGTAGCCAGGCGGGGGATGGGCAGTGTATCGGCTGGGCAGTGTTGCCAGGCCAGTGTAGCCAGGGGGATTGTAAGGCGCGGATGCCCGGGCCAGGGCGGGATAGGCCAAGGCGGGCTGTGAGGCAGGTAGCCAGGCCAAGTGGCCAGGGGATGGGCAGTGTAGCCAGCGAGCAGTGCAGTGTAGCCAGGCGGATGGGCAGTGTAGCGGCAGGCGTGTAGCCATGGGCAGTGTAGCCAGGCGGGATGGGGTGTAGCCAGGCGGATGGGCAGTGTAGCCAGGCGGGAATGGGCAGTGTAGCCAGGCAGGGCAGTGTAGCCAGGCGGGAGGGCATAGCCAGGCGGGATTGGGCAAGCCAGGCCAGCGCGGGGTGGGCAGTGTAGCCATGGGCGGGATGGGCAGTGTGGCAGTGTAGCCAGGCGGGGATGGGGCCAGTGTAGCCAGGCGGGATGGGCTGTGGCGGGATGGCCGCCAGGCAGGGGCAGTGTAGCCAGGGCCAGTGTAGCAGGCGGGTATATGTGGGCAGTGGCCAGTGGAGGCAGTGTTAGGCGGAGGGGCATAGTGTAGCCAGGCAGGTGAGGGGGCAGTGTAGCCAGGGCCGTTGTAGCCAGGCGGGGATGGGCAGTGTAGCCAGGCGGGATGGGCAGTGTAGCCAGGCGGGATGGGCAGTGTAGCCAGGCGGGATGGGCAGTGTAGCCAGGCAGGGCAGTGTGTAGCCAGGCGGGATGGGCAGTGTAGCAGGCGGGATGGGGCAGTGTAGTCCAGGCGGGATGGCAGTGTAGCCAGGCGGGATGGGCAGTGTAGCCCAGCGCGGGAGCCAGTGTAGCCAGGCGGACATGGCAGGATTGGCAGTGTAGGCCAGGCAGGGTAATGTGGCAGTGTAGCCAGGCGGGATGGGCAGTGTAGCCAGGCGGGATGGGCAGTGTAGCCAGGGGGATGGGCAGTGTAAGCCAGGGCGGGATGGGCAGTGTAGGTGTGTACCGGGTTATTGTGTATTGTAAATTCGTACTTTGTGTGTTGTTGGTAAGTATTGTTTCTATAAGTGTACGATAAACAGATAAACAGAGAGAGAGAGAGAGAGAGAGAGAGAGAGAGAGAGAGAGAGAGAGAGGAGAGAGAGAGAGAAGAGAGAGAGAGAGAGAGGAGAGAGAGAGAGAGAGAGAGAGGCGGATATACGTATGTCCGTCTATGGCTGTGCGAACGCTCGCTTCCACATACCCATTACAGAGGAACCCAACCAAACTCTCGTAATCTAAAATGAGCTGGATTCTAGATAAGCCTAAACAAGGTAACGAGAAAATACAGCCTACATTAATCTGCCTCATGTTTGACCTAACGAGCAGTTGGCTTGTCAAATATTGGCGTATTTGATATAGGCCGCAGCGCCCAGCCTAAATCATCAGGGTCGTGAAATTGCTGCCAAAAGTGTTGTTGTAGTTGTTGTTTTATTGTTGTTTTTCGGATTTTCTCTGGTCAAGGGATCTATTTTAATCTAACAAGTTTTGATCAGTGAAACCCGGTGTCCTTTTGCACGTCAATCAACTTTTTAAAAATCATTATTATCTTTTTTTTACTTCCGTTTCACATCATATACAACACAACCCGTTTTTAATTCACCTGCGGATACTTGAGGAGGAGAGGAGGAAGGGGAAGAAGGAGGAGAAGAAGAAAGGAAGAAAGGAAAGGAAAAGGGGAAAAGGGAGGAGAGGAGGAAAGAAATGGGAGGAGGAGCAATAGGAGAAGGAGAGGAAGAGGAAGAAGAAAAGAGAGGAGGAGCAGGAAGAAAAGGGGAAGAAGAAGAGGAGAGAGGAGGAAAAAGAAAAGAGGAGGAAAGAGAAAGAAAAAAAAAGAGGGAAGAAAGGAGGAGGAGAGGAGGAAAGCGAAATGATTCCCCCCCTTTAAACAAACATTAAAGTGTGATAACGAAGGTATTATAGACACTACTCGGGAAAATTTAAGTGGTTGTAGAGCATACTAATGTGATAAGTGTTTGAGGAGTGAATATCTATAGACACGACCGGTTTATTAAAACTACGACGCCCGTCCCAGTAAATATTCGTATATACGGACATGCATATACACAAAAATAAATGCGTATCTGCCTTTCTATCAGATGTATATACACTTATCTATCTAGGTATATTATAGATATTCATGCTTAGACTGATAGGTATGTATTTATGTGTTTATATATGTGTATCCGATTAATGGAATGTACATTGGTTTGGGCCTCGCGCAATTTTAACAAACCGGCTATTAATTTTGACTTTGAAAAAAAAAAAAAAAAAAAAAAAAAAAAAAAAAACAGCTGGTCTAGTTCATAGTTCCTACCGGCCATTAATTTTGACTTTGAATTTAAAAAATAAATAAAAAAAAAAGTTTTGCAGTTATGTGGTCTAGTTCTTGGTTCCTAATTAAGTGTTATCTAAGGTTTGTGTTCTTAAAAGGAAAAGAGTGGAAAGTATGAAAGGTCAAGGGAAAGGATGTTAGTAGATAGAGAACCAAGAAGCAGAGAATGGACGGACGTAATTCAAGTCGTTGACTTTTAAGAGACTAGGAATCCGAGAGAAGATACCAGTAGCAACGTATATGTATATATAATATATATATATATATATATATATATATATATATATATATATATTACTATATATATATATATATATATATATATATACGTTGTATTGACAGATAGATATTCATATATGTATATAGCCTATGTACTGATTCTATGTGTCGTGTGTGGGAAGAGAGAGAGAGAGCTGTGTGTGTTGTGGAGATGTGGTGTGCTTGTGTGAGTGTGTGTGTGTGTCCTGTGGTTGTGTAGTGTGTGTGTTGTGTGTGTGTGTTTGTGTGTGTGTGTGTGGTGTGTGTTGTGTGTCGTGTGTGTGTGTGTGTGTTGTGGTGTGGTTTGTGTGAGTGTTGGTGTGTGTTGTGTGTGTGGAGTGTGGAGTGTGTGTGTTGTGTGTGTGTGTGTGTTCGCTGCAATGATATGAGAAAAAAATACGTGCACGAATCAGAAAAAGATAATTTTAAACTGAAGTATTTTTTGCTGTACCAACAGCGATGAAAGATTTTATTATATTTCTACCTGAATATGTTTATATATAAAAGATGTGTTAAAGAAGTGAAATTTTACATTAATTTCCTGAAAAGAATTTCTAATTCTAGCTCCTGATTAATGAAAGATAGATTTATCATATATTACTTCGCCTTTGCCTTTATATGTAACTCACATTACAAAAAAATCACTTGATATATCACAACAAACAAAATAACAAAAAACATGCATTATGCACACACTCATATCACAAAAAATCACTTGATATATCACAACAAACAAAAAAACAACAAAAACAAAACATACACTATGCACACGCTCATATCACACAAAAAATCACTTGACATATCACAACAAACAAAACAATAACAAAAAAAAACATCAATGCACTGACTCATATATCTCACTACAAACAAAACAAAAAACTACAAAAACATACACTATACACACACCCATATCACAACAAATCACTCATTACATCACAACAAACAAAATAACAACAAAACAACAACAACAAAACACGCACTATGCACGCACTTTTCATAAACAGAAAGACACAAGCGATCTCCATGTCCATATCGTAACTTTATGCAAGGCCGTGGCATTGGATATCGACCGGGAGACAAAGCAATATGAATGCAACAGCTGTATCGGACTTTTGCAACAGGAAGTCATCTGTTGCTTTCTTTGGTTTGGATTCGTTAAATTAAAGAAGGAGAATAGAGGGAGGAGGAGGAGGAGGAGGAGGAGGAGAGGAAGAGGAAGAGGAAGAAGAAAAAGGGAGGAGGAGGGGAAAGGAGAAGGAGGAGGAGGAGGAAAGGAAGAGGAAGAGGGAAAGGAGGAGGAGGAGGGAAGGAAAGGGAGGGAGGAGAGGAAGAGGAAGAAGAAAAAGGGGAGGGCAGAGGAAAGGGGAGAAGAAGGAGGAGGAGAAAGGAGAGGAAAAAAGAAAGGGGAGGAGCAGGAGGAAAAGGGGAAGAAGGAGGAGGAGAGGAAAGTGAGGAAGAGGAAGAATGAAAAGGGAGGAGGAGGAAGAAGAATAGACGAAGGAGGAAAAGGGGAAGAGGTGGAAAGATTAGAGGAGGAGGAGGAGAAGGAGAACGAGAGCAGAAGAAAAGGGAAGGAGAAGGAACAGGAGGAAGAGGAGAAAGGAGAGAAGAAGAAGAAGAAGAAAAGGGAGGAGGAGAAAAAGAGAAGTTGAGAAGAGAAAAAGAAGCGACATAACACATACTGTACATAAGTATAATGAGCAACTGATATTTCAATAAATATTTCTTTGACTGAGGCTTCCAGCAATCCTGTTAATATTAATAACATTTTTCTATGTAATTAATGCGTATACATAAATGATAATAAATGATAATACAAGATTATAAATAAATTATGATACATATAGTAAAATGTATGTAGGTGAATAAATGAATATGAATGCAATAGTAAAATGTATGTAGACAATTATGAAATAAATGGGATACAAGATGATAAATAAATTAATATGCATATAGTGAAATGTATGTAGACAATTATGATTATAAAGATAATGATAATAAAAATGATATTCTAAGTAGTTAAGGTACTCGAAACCGGATTTTGCAAAGGAACTTTATTAGCCAAGAAATTATTAACACTTAAGTTATGTTAGCATTCGATAATATGTGTTAAAGGAATAGTTTGTTTGTTTCAATCTTTTGGTAGAGAGAAAGAATACATATTCAAACATACTTGCACACTTAAATGCAATACGTTCATGTATATAAACATATATTTACTCATACATACATACAAAGAAATGTACATACAAATATAAATATATATATACATATATACATACAAACAAATATACATACATACATATATAAAAACATACAAATATATATACATATATAAAAGCATACATAAATACATGAATACGTACTTGCATAAATACATATACATACATACATACATACATACATACATACACCCAAACATAATACCCACATATAAGAATGCTCATGTCTGATAAAATAATTTCTACAAATGTTAATGAATGATACAGCTGACTGAATAAAAAATATATATACGTTAAAAAAACAAAGAGAAAATTAAAATGATACGGACTTCACATTCATTAATCATATCCTCAGGGAAACAGCCTGCTTTTGTTTTTGGTTTGTGAAATTTCCTGTTTTTTTCGCGTGACATGAATGACTTTGTTGATATTCTTGCTTCAGAAGCGTTGGTTGTAAACAAATTATCTGGTTCTTTTTTATTGTGATGAGAAGGTAAGTGATGTTTACTTTCTTTTATTTTATTTTTATTTTGTTTATTTTTTTCATTTATTTATTTATTTATTTATTTATTTATCTTTTTTTTGAGAACCATCTGTTTGTTATCACAATTATTTTTTTTCTGTTTTTTTATAGTGATGAGAAAATAACTGATCACTTTCTTTTTTTTAGAACTATATGTTTATTATTAGAATTATCTTTTTTTTTAGTGATGAGAAGATAACTGATGTTCACTTTCTTTTTTCTTTTTTTTTTTTTTTTTTTGAACTATCTGTTTATTATCAGAATTATCTGTTTTTTTTTTTAGTGATGAGAAGATAACTGATTACTTTTTTTTAGGACCATTTGTTTATTATCAGAATTATATTTTTTTTCTTTTTGTTTTTTTTATAGTGATGAGAAGATAACTGATCACTTCCTTTTTTTCTGTTTGTTATCATCTGTTTTTTTTCTTTTTTTTTGTGATGAGAAGATTGATGTTACTTTCTTTTTTTCAGTATCTATTATTAGAATTATCTTTTTTTCTTCTTCTTTCTTTTTTTAGTGATGAGAAGATCGATTGCTGTTAACAGAGAGAGAGGATAGGGGATAACGATGAGAGCAATAATTGCAATATTGATTATGGGGATGATTATGATCATGATGGTGTGGTATCTCTCTCTCTCTCTTCTCTCTCTCTCTCTCTCTCTCTCTCTCTCTCTCTCTCTCTCTCTCTCTTCTCTCTCTCTCTCTCTCTCTCTCTCTCTCTCTCTCTCTCTCTCTCTCTCTCTCTCTCTCTCTCTCTTCTCTCTCTCTCTCTCTCTCTCTCTCTCTCTCTCTCCTTTCTCTCTCTTCTTCGTTCTTCTTCTCCCCTCCCGTCTCCCCCTCCTTTCTCCCTCTGCCGTCGCCTTCTCCTTCTCGCCTCTCTTCTCCCTTTCCCTCAGCCTCTCCCCTCGCTCTCCTTCTCCTTTCTCCTTCTCCCTCCCTCTCCCTCTTCCCTCTCACTCTCACCTCTCGC